AATTAGAAGAAAAAATATAAAAGCATAATTCCTCTTTGAACCAAAACACAAAAAGAACTTCATCCAAAGAAATCAGAGAAGAAGATGAACCAAAATTAAGAAGTTGTCGTGGCTGTAGAGGTTGCTCTTGTGCAAAACTCTCCTCATAATCAAGAAGTGGAAAGAGGCCGTGCTTGTGCAACCAAACTTTTGAGACCCAAGAGAGCTCTCAGAAATAGGAGATCAAGAAGAAGAAGAAGGGTGAAAAGGCCAGTTATCATTGATTCTGATGATGAGGATGAATCAGATTATATTTGGTCAAATTTTCTCTCAGCCACATGATTTAGATATGATTATTAAGGCCTTTTTGTTTATTTAATGAAATTTTCTATAAGCGTTTCTTAAGTTTTTTTCAATTTCTGTCAGCTTAACTCTTAGTATGGCGTACACTCTAGAGTTGTCTCATATACAAAATCTAAATAAAACTAAAACGATTCATAAGAACAAAATCTAGGGATTTCTAATTTACACTAATATACACTAATTATTCACAAAACCACAATAATAGTTTACACAAAACGATTCACAAAACCACATTAATGATTCACAAAATCCAGGGCTTTCTAATATACACTAATATATAAACTTTCATCCTATGGTTATGAACGAGGTAACCCTAAACATGAAAATACACATTCATAAGAATATTAACATATGCGGTAACCCTAAACATTCATAAGCGTCAGAGAAAGAAAATGATGACTTACCAGAAATGATATTCGAAAGGATGATGAAGATTTCCCTTTCAGAAGTGATATTCAAAGAGGATGGTGAAGATATCGATATCATTGTCGTCTCGTTCTCTAGGGTACCCCTGTGTGTTATGAACGACATAAAGTACATGCTATCTTTTTATTTTTTGAGAAATAATTTCACAACAGTTGTGCAAAACAACCGTAGTGATATTCTTTTTATTTTTTATTTAAAAATAAATAAAAAAGTAAAGGTGTGCCTTAACGCTAAAGGAATAAAATATTTGAGGGCGCTGAGGTTTGAACCCATGAAAACTTGGTTGTATCACCACGGTGAGGTCATTAACCTTTAGTATATCTTAAAAAGTTTTAATTAAAAAATAAATAATGTTAGCGCCTGAGTTTAGAGATGTTATCACGGTGTTTCGAAGAACTTTGGTGACTTCGGCATTGTTGTATACGCGTTTTGTAGTAGTTCCTTATCAAAGAAGGATAAAAAATCTATGAAGATATGACTTGGTTCACAAGATTTTATTCATCATCTAAGGTATATGAATTCAATATCATATACATTTCTTAGTGCTCAAAATATTTGTTTTATCACGCATTGGAATTGTTATTTTCATGTTTGAACCATGTTAAATCACTTTCAAATATAATATATTGACTTGGATAAATCAATAGATGTTACATAAGGTTTATTAAAATACTTAGAGAAATTTTTAATTTCTAAGGCATGTCAATCGGTTGCATCATGGCACAATCAATTGTATAAAAAATGGTTCCTCTCTGCCAGACTTGAAATTGCACTTTCCAGGCGTGATAATCGATTGTCAATTTGTGAAATCGGTTGCCACAAGGAAAAAATTGAATTTTTTTTAACATTATACATATGACAATGGATTGTCATTTGGTGCAATCGATTGTCACTGGGAATTTTCTGAAAAATGTCTTTGTTCGTAACACCTTTTCATCAAACCTTTTCATGACATCTTTTTCATATCAATGCATTAACTTTTTAAGAAAATCTTTCAACCATTGACTTATTTTGTGAAGTGTTTTCTTCATTCTATAAGTTCATTTTCAAATTCATTTTAGAATCACCTATTTCAAAATACATATCAAATTTCTCTACATTTTTCTTCAACAAAATTTTCATTTTTGAATACTTTTTTAAACACATTTTCATATTATTTTAAAAAGTGTCATTGAGTACTAAGAGAGCATTTGTTCTTGAATATTCATATTTGAAAAAGAAGAAGACTTTGTTAATTTGACTAAGTTTTAAACACTCTACAAATTCCATATATTTTCTATCTATTGTATATGTTACAAAATCCTAAGTATAAAGGATTATTTGGTACTAGGATGGATCTATAAAAAGGTGGATTGTATCTTCTTGTAGAAGTCTTTACTTATTTTTCAGGATTGTTAGACATAAATATGTAAAATAACAAGAGGATTGTTTTTGGTGATTTTGGTTAGAATCTTATATAGGAAGACTAGGAGTATCTTGTCCATAAGATCTAACAACAATAAAATCTCTTACATGTGGTAAGGGGACTAGACGTACTCTCGGATTATGATGGAAACTAGTATAAATTTCAAGTGTTCTTTACTTTCTATATTTTACCGTTTTCATCACATAACCTAACCAAAAAGAAAGAAACACATCTCTAAAAACCATAAATTTTTAAATACCTAATTCTCCCTCCCTCTTAGGTGCATTCTTAACTTAGAATTAAAATCAGAGCAGGTTATAAGTAACCTGTTTCTAAAGATTGAGAATGACTTTTGTAAATGCTAATCTAGTTTTTAGAGACGATGGTAGCAATAACAAACCTCAATTGTATTGTGGTGAATATTTTTCTTTTTGCAAAGAACAGAACATTCAAAATCTTCCTTACCTTAAAATATCGACAACCCAAAAGTTGTTTTTCAAAATTTGTAACGGTTGATGTCCTACGAAGAACAACAATGTCTCCACAACAACAAGTGAGGTTTCATCACAGATTTGAGCTTGTATATACATTGGAATCAAAACTTCGAGAGCTCTACTATTTAGATAAGTTTGAACAACGCCCCAAATAAATTGTTAATGGAACCTTCAATTTCAATAAGAAATTTCAGTTGGGAATCATCCAATTCATAAACCCTAATTCGATTTGAGAAGAAAATAAACAAGAAGGGATTAAGCTCAAGGTGAAAACGAAGATAACTGTTAACAGCCAACTCAGTTGTCACACGTACATAAATAAACGTCGTTTGAGCAAAATAGACGGAAAGAACTTTTGTGGCGCTGTTTGGACAATTAAAGGATCACATTGCTCTCTTTTAAAATTGGGGTTAAATATGTTTTTGGTTCCTATAAATATCTCAAATTTCACTTTTGGTCCTTATTAAAAAAAATGACATGTTTTAGTCCTTACAAAATTATTATGCACGTAGTTGTAGTCCCTGCTGTTAAACCAATGTGTACTTTTGAATGACTATTTTTTAAACATGTTTAGAACGTTATAAAAAGTTCTTCGAAAAAAAAGAAATTAAAAATTTGATTTCTAAGTAGAGATTTTTATTACTTTTATCATTATCTTTTGAAATTTAAAAAATTCATATTTAATTCTTCTAATTTTAAAAAATTCTAAAATTCGATAAAAGAAATATTTTATAGTATTCTAAACACGTATGAAAAATATTATTCAAAATTTTAAAATTTTAAGGGTAATTAAAAAGTTTTTAAAATTGTAGAAAATAACAGAGACTAAAGTTGCATGAACACAAATTTAATAGGAATCATAATTTGTCATTTTTTTAATAGAGACTATAAATGAAATTTGAGATATTTATAGGAATCAAAAATATATTTAACGCTTAAAATTAAGGGACCAAAATGGACCCAGAAATCAAGTTAAATGACCAAAAATGATATTTTGCCAAATTTAATATGACATGTAAAATTTAACATAAATAAATATTATTTTCAACGTATTATACATGAATTTAGAATATCACATAAATGACATATTTATTTAATATAATTATGTACCTTTCACCATAATTATGAAGAAACAAAAATTTATGTTTATCTCTCCATCAAAGTTGCAGCAACAAATTAATCACAAAAAATCAAAAATCAAAAATCGATAATTTTAAAAATTATATGAATTAAATGTGTACTATCTTTCACCATCATTAAAAGTTGTTATAATCTTCTTTAAGTTGCATCCATTAGTATTAATTATAAATAAAATATAATGAAATATGGTATGATGAAATATGCACAAAATAAATTCTCAAATATGTGTTTATACTAAACTTTAGGTTCAATTCACCTATCAATTTAAACAAATTGTATTCAAATGAGTAAACCGACGAATCTCCTTCCTAATATTTTAGAAACCTTAACATGAATTACACATTCTTGTAAAATATATTGATCAACGATATTGTATAAAATAAAATTCTGTCATTTTTTTTGTGCACTAGAGAAATAAAATAATGAATGATATATAATTTTCTTTTTATATTTGAAACTTATAATTTTCGTATTCTTTTATATCTAACAAATGTCTCTATAAAAATTTGTATCAATTGACAAAGAGAAACACTATTTCAATGGTTTCAAGATATGCATTCGTGAGCAATTATATATTTATAACGTAAACATTTTACTCAAAAGATGTGTTGCTCTAATAGTTAGCACGCCTAGCCATTATTTGCGATGTTGCTTGTTCTATTCTCAATAGGTGCATCTTTTTGGCAATATTTTTACTGTTTAAAATATAAACTAAAAATTGCTTCTACAAAGATACGTACTGAAAATATCAATATTGCCTATTTCAATTTCAACCACTGTGCCACTTTCTTCCTTGTTAATACATTTATATAATTCCCCAATAAATAATAAGTGAACCCATAACTTGTTAAGATCGTGAAGAAGCTCCCAAATATGTTTATCTAAGATGAGTACATGACAACATTAACATGTCTAGTTCTCCTTATGCCAAGACTACCTCGAGTAAAAGGTTGAGTTATGATATTCCATTTAACTCAGTGACTAGATTTACCTTCCAAATTAATTGTCTTATACAAGAATTTATACTACAAATGCCTTTTGGAGAACTAAGCAAACACTTAGCAAGAGTTATCCTCCAAGGCCTACTAAGAAGGCCTACTTAATTTAATTCTTACATCAGCTAAAAACGAACAAGTCTCCTACACACTCATCTACCCATTGGATTCAAAAATTTCTGCATCTCCCTTGGCTACTTACCAGACACTTATTGGTGGGAATCCACTTAGGAGATCTCTCTCAACAAATGCCACATTTCTTGAGGCAGATTGATCAATCATAAAAGAGGAGTGGATATCTAAAAAGGAATGAATTGATTTAAACCAGCAATCAGATCTTATCAGATTCAGTACATCTAAAAAGAAATAGATTGACTGAAGTAACAAACATGAGACAGTGGAATCAGATCTTGTTGGCATTCATTGACTTATCACATACAACAGTAGTTTAAATTTTACATGCTATGTTCCCTGACCACTTAGAAAATGTATCAATTGGGTCCAAAGCATAAACATAAGAGCAATCAATAACATATATAAGCTTGAAAGCTCTTATTTCACTTACTGACTCAATTCCATAAACCAATTTGTAAGGCCTAAGTAACTTATTTGGTGAGGAGATTCTGCACTTGGATGCTACAGCACTTGTTTCTTCATTCTAGAAAAGGGTAGTCGGTATAACCAATAACTGGATCAGAAATGTAGAATGTCTCCCTGTTGTACTTGTTAAGAGGAGCATCAAGTGCAAATCTCTTTGGCAAATCTGGATTAGCTAAGAACCAACGACCATAAACAACAAGGTCTGCTCTGTTTTCAGCTATGGCCTTAATCCCATCAGGTCGAGTGTAACCTCCTGCAACCAAGAAAGTGCCCTTGAAGGCTTTCCTCATTGGCACAAGGGTGTCAGGGCATTCAGTTATTTCATGAACAGTTTTCATTCTTGGTTCCACCACATGACAATATAGAATGCCAAATTTATTGAGGGCATTGGCCATATAAAGTCCTAATTCTTTGGGATTGGAGTCTCCACATTCTGCATAATCTGCAAAAGGTGATAATCTTATTCCCACTCTTTCTGCTCCTATCTCATTTGCAACAGCTTCAACAACTTCCAAAGCAAATCGACAACGGTTCTCAAGGGATCCACCATATTCATCTGTTCTGTCATTCACTTTATCTTTCATGAATTGTTCAAGTAGGTAGCCATGAGCACCATGGAGTTCAACCCCATCAAATCCTGCAATTTGCATCCCATTGGTTATGTTAGATAATTGTAAAGTGTCCCACTGCACTCTGAAGCAAAAAAATGTTCAGTGTCTGAAAAACATTGTATTATGATACATTGAAGCATTTATTACGAGTTCTTGAGAGATTTAAAAAGATCAGTGAATTTACCAGCTTCAATTGCATTTCTTGCAGCAAGCCTGAAGTCATTGACAATGCCTGGAATTTCATCCGTCCTTAGCCGCCTTGGTGGTGTGAATTTCACTTCATCAATACCATTACTTCGGATTTGCGGTGTAAGTGGCTTGTCGGTAGAAGATATTGGTGCTTGCTCATTCGGCTGATAAACTGTTGAGAATAACAAGGAAATGAGCATGAATTAAGTGTGTAAATAAACAAAAAATCTAAATGTAGTTTCTTCCACTCCAATCATATCCATTTTGTTTGATTGATGCAAAAGGCAATATTCCACATTATTAATCAATAGTTTAGCTTAAGCTGCTCAATATTTACACATTGATCAATAAAGTTTCCTCACTTAAAGTAATATGTGACACTCCTTCCTATTGCCCAAGTATATATATCATATCATTATTTATGTTACTAACTGTTGGGCACTTAAGAAAATTTGAGGAAATAGTACATACCAGAATCAGAAACTCTTCCAACATGCCAAATTTGACAAAAGAAGGTAGCACCTTTAGCATGAACAGCGTCCACAATAGGTTTCCAAGCTTCAACATGGTCTTTAGTCCATATACCTGGTGTGTCGGGATACCTTCACATAATAATATAATCAACACAAAAGAAAGTATAATTTTGAAGAATGATAGGTAATTTTTTTATTTACTTAACTACTAGTATTATTTACCCTTGAGCAGTGTCAGAGATACCAGTAGCTTCAGTAATGAGAAGACCTCCATTAGAACCAATGGCTCTCTGAGAGTAATAGAGGATAGCATGAGGTTGTGGAACGTTTTTGTATGATCTCTGTCTTGTGAGTGGTGCCAAAACAACTCTGCAAACACAAACACATGGTGAGTGAAGGAAATTGAAATCAGAAGCAATGATGGAATGAAAAGATACCTATGAGAGAGATTGAATTTGCCCATTTTGTATGGAGTAAGAAGAGGAATAGGATCAGATTCAACAACACCAGCCATTTGGTTCCACTTGGTTTACTTCACTAAAAAGGGAAAGATAAAATTGAATATGAAGTTGAAGATGAGATGTACTTATTTTATAGTGACACTAAAAGTGATGCCGACTTCAATTTATAACTATTGGTGACGTGTGCCGTTGCGTTGCATAGCAGTCCAATTTGACTCCTTTGTTCATCTCACATCACAAAATCTTACTGTATAACCCTAGGGTTAGCTCAAATTTGAGGGTTGCCTTGAGTTTTTAGAGTGTGTTCTTCTTAAAATTTTAAGTTCAAATATTTTTTTAGTTTTGTTCCAACTTTAAAGGAGATTTCATAAATGAACAGTAGAATTGGTCTCTTGAATTAGTCGGTTAAAAGATTAAATTATTGAATTAATAATTATAACTACCACTCATATAGTGTATAGTAGTTGGTCACTTAATCACAACACAGATAATGGTGGGGAATTTCATCAATCGAATAATTTGTCCCCACCGTGGAGGCTTTTCCTTTTAGTAGAATTATTAGCAGTACTATATTCATATTTAATTATGTGTGCTTGATGGAATTGGATTCTGCTATATTCACATTTAACAATGTGGAAATACAATGCACCTAGCCTGTAATTTAATATCAGAGTCAGTGTAGAAAAAAAGGTTTATAATAGTGAATTTTTTACCAACATACACTCTTTTTAGTCATTAAATCCCAATATACCATCTCACACATTCATAAATCTCAATATATCCTATTTTCAAATAAAATGTATTTTTGCCACAATTCATCCGCCAATACAATGGGCGGAGGAGTGTATTTTTCTTGGATTCCGCATCTGCATTGGGCGGATGCTTTTAAAAATAGAGAGGGTCTGCCCATTAGATGGGCGGATGTGTGCAAACGTGTTTTTTTTTATTCTCTAAATTAAATTCATATAATTAAATAATATATATTATAAATTAAATTCATATAATTAAATAATATACATTATAAATTAAATTCATATAATTAAATAATATACATTATAAATTAAATTCATATAATTAAATAATATACACTTTAATTAAATGAAATACACTTTAATTAAACAAAATATACTATAAATAAATAAAATATACTATAAATAAACAAAATACACTTTCATTTTAACATATATAATTCCAAGACACATCTACTGTCGATTTTGACCGGGTCGTGTCAATCGTTGGTGAGTTCCACAAGCAGGTGCTCGTCTAGTACGTTGGCATGTTCTGCGATTTCCTTCTTCATTTTGTGGTTGAGTTAAAGTTGAAGGTCCCGCGTCACACCCGCCCATTAAAAATTCCTCAATCATGTCCTCATTGGTAAAGTCTGTCTCGGCTGCACTGCCATAACTTAATCTGGTCCCTCCCAATTCCAATTTGGTATGGGATTAGAAGACATTGGGCTATTTATTGAGGGTTGGTAACAATCTTGGGAGGTAAATTGTTGTGGTCGGGGAATAGGCATTTGTTGTTGGGGTGTCTGATAGTTGGGATTATGTGGGGTTTGTTGGGTGCCCCATTGGGTGGGGTTAGAGGAAGGATATTGTTGTTGGGTGCCCCAATGGGTGGGGTTAGATGAAGGGTTTTGTTGTTGGGTGCCCCATTGGGTGGGGTTAGAAGAAGGATTTTGTTGATGGTATTGTTGGCTTGGGGTAAAAGGTGGTTGTGTTAGGAAGAAAGGTTGTTGCGTAAAAGATGGTTGTGTTGGGAAGAAAGGTTCTTGGTTGCTCATGAATGGTTGTTGGGTGTAAGTGTTTGATGATGGTCTGGTGTGTTAGACGTTTGAAGATGTTGGCAAATTACGAGGGTCATATAAGAAGTTGTTTGGTGACAGATACAAATTTGTAACAAACTTATACCATTCCATGTATTCCTTACTTGGTTTACATTCTTCTGACATGACATCTCCTTGTAAGACTTTATTTTCGCGGTTATGCCATTGACGACGCTCCTGCTTGTAACAATCTTTCCAATTGCTATATGCCCATTGGTCGTTCACCACACTTTTGTGATACTCCTCCATGCACTGTGGAGCATCCGATATGCCTTGCTTAATGCCAAATTGAAGTTTTACCCGATCAGAATGGTGCATTTCAATAGTAGTAAAACATATGATAAATGTTTTTGCACTCCACACGTGACTATCAGTCGGATCGGTATCATCAAGTCCCAGATAGGGCCTCCATATAAACTGTTAAAAAAAATCAGTTATTAGTTTAACGAACTATATAAAATATGTAATACTTAAAATATGGTTAAGAATATTACATCAGATTCTTCGAAATGATCGATGAGAGTCCGATAGCCAGGTGCACAATGATGAGGAGTCTTTTCGTAATCCATCCCATAGGCAGACCATCTAAAAAAATGTAATAGTTAAATATTGTTCACATAATAAATAAGTTTAAGACAAAGGAGTAGTTACAACTTACTTGGTTGCGTACGGAAAATGAAAAGGATTACGATTCCTAGGCGCTAGATTCGGCATCCTGGACCATCCCCAAGCTTGTATTAGTGTTGAACAACCAGCAAAATTATGAACATCTTTTTTGGCGCATCTACAGAGGTTTCTGTATAGATGCGATAAAACTGTTGATCCCCAACTGTATCTACCTATTTTATTAAAGTCAGCTAGCAATGGTAAATACATTAGATGTATTGTGTTACCATTTGTGTCAAGAAATAATAAACAAGCGAATAACAATAAAATATAAATTCTAGTTTTTTTATGAATTTGTTCTATGGGGGAATCTTGGTTCAATTCAAATGCATCATATATTTCTCGGAGCCAAGTAATTTTGACGAATTGTCCCTTTCTAGCTCTTTCGGGCAATTCTTCACCCAAGAGTTCTTGAGTTATGGAGTAGTCGATATTTGTTCTCCCATTCACTGCCAAACCGTTTACACGTAAACCCATCAACATGTGGACATCTTCAAGGGTGACTATGGATTCACCGGTAGGAAGATGGAATGTGTGTCTCCGGACGCCATCTTTCACATAAAGCGAGAATAAATTTCCTATCCACCCCATATGACGTTATGTTGAAAACGTGCCCAAAGCCCGCTTGCATTAGATATGGACGGATCATTTCGTCTACGCGCACATATGAGTGTGTACGAGGCCTACATTTTTTCTCATTCTAAAAAAAAATAGTTAATATTAGAATATGGTTAATGTCAGAAGTATATGCTTAAAATTTAAAAAAATTTATACGTAAATATATTCAAGACTTACATATTGGAGTATGTTTGACAATGTTCCTCGGTGCTCCTCTCCATAAGTTAACAGAGACATTATAGAAAATTGAGATTGGTGTAAAATCATGATGAGAAAGAATAGATAAAGATTGAGTATGATGTATATTTTGAAAAAATGAGTAGTATTTATAGAGAAAAAATGTAGGGTTTTTATTCAAAAAATTTAATGGAAACCATAAAATGGTTGGGAGTAATTACTCTGCATGCATGTTGTGTACGTAGACTGTGTTGCATGCACATCTTTACAGAGTCCGCCTACTCAATGGGCGGAACCCTTTGCATTTTCTGACACGCCGCAGATACAATGGGCGGACATGTTACTTTTTGTCTGCCATCCGCGTATTTAATGGGCGGAAGCATGCAATTATGCCTGCCAAGGACGCAAGAGCAATGGGCAGAGCCTGTAGGAACATCAATGCTTCCGCTTTTGAATTGGGGGAAACCCTTTCACAATTTAATGGCACCACTTCTGCATTGGGCGGATGAGTTAATGTTATCAGTTTGACCACTAAATTCAGTTCTTCCTGCGTTTATTTATTACAACATATCTACTAAACACAAAATCTATTTCATTTAAATACACTTCTACCTCCTACTTTTTTTCATCAAGCCAACCCATCTAAAAAAAAAATTTCTCCTATAATTCAGATCTTATTCACTAACAAATCAACATGTCTCAAATACCTCAATATATAGTGGATGCTCATTACAATGGAGAGATCCTTATCTCTGATGAAATGGGCATTATATTCGAAAATACTGATATATGCCGGTTCAAATTAAGTAGAAATGCGAAGTTTGAATATTTGAGGGAGAGGATACAAACAAGGATGCAATCTGGAGCTGTCTCACAAATTATATATCGAAATGCTGTTAATTTCGGTGTGAACCAGGTGAAATATGTTCCACTGAAAATCCGAGATGATGATGATGTGGAAATGATGTTTTACAACCATGAATTATATGGGTTACATGCGATAGATTTATACATAAAATTTCAACTTTCTCAACAATCTCAAATCTCACAAGTGGCCAATCCCAATGATGCTGAACCCGTGTCCATAATTCCCGAGGAAGTCGTTGTCGAAGATGACGAAGAAGAGGAGACTGAGTCACAAGCTGATGATTTGTTCACTACTTTATTTGAAGACGGTGGACGTGACGAGGCGGATGCAATCAACGAAACTGAACAACACATTCCACTTGAGAATGTCTATTGTCCACCCGCCCACATGACCACTCTGGAAACAGCTGGAGACGAATCATCCTTTCAATGGCCCAAAAATCCTCGTCTTCCGCTGGAGGATGACGTAGCTGTTGAGAACCAGTTCAAAAACAAATCTGACTGTGTCTTTGCGATATCCAGGTACCATATGAAACATGTCGTTGATTTCAGGGTTACGTGTTCTGACACGAAGAGATATAAAATTTGTTGTAAGCGTAGTGGTTGCAACTTTCGTCTAGTGGCATTCTATAGGAAAAGGAGCGACCTTTGGGAGATAGGAATCATGGAGCCCCCACATAATTGTTCAACGACCATCTTTAATCAGGATCATCGATAACTAAGCTCTCGACTGATGAGTGAACGATTAATGCCTCTTATTGAAAAGGATCCCTCCATCAAGGTGAGTGTATGTATTAACGAAATTGTTTCTTTTTTCAAATACACTCCATCTTACAAGAAAGCATGGATTGCTAGAAACAAAGCAATCGAACAAGTGTTTGGTAATTGGGAAAAGTC